AATAATCATATAAATTGAGGCCTTTGATTGGAAATATTCATAGAAGTGCTAAAGGTTAGTAAACTATTCACTGACTCCTCAAAGCAACACTACTTTTTCCCCAAAGAATATTTTGTCATTAAATATATATTACTGGTTTCCTTTTTAAAGAAATGATCAACTTGATTGGAATAAACTGTGAACGAGAATTGTTCTAAAATATATTCCTTTTCTTTTTTTTCTCCAATGGCAACTATTGGTTAGTTCTGTCTACCATTTGTCAAATTTAACTCAAACATTATGTTCTGTCAAAGTCTGAATGAATAGCCTCTTTTCTCCCCAGCTGGCAAATGTCAATAGTTAGCAGAAAAATTTACTTCATGTGTTCTCTACACTGAAATAATGCCTTGATAAAAAGATACAAAGGGAGAACCTTTGGGTTTAATTCATGCCCTGTTTTAATTTAAGTAAGATATAAATAGATTGCCTGCTGTCCTTTCTGAAAATAATGCCAGAAAAAGACATGGCTGAGCTTCTTCTGTGTTCAAGCAATCTCAGGAAGTTGTACATATACTTGGCAGTTTAGGTTCACAGGAGCCAGTTGTCACATGGATGGAGCTGGTAAGAAAGGGCATGAAAACAGAGGCATACATGGTGAGGTCAAATGGGGGAGGGGGTGTACAAATGAAAAAAGCAACACTGCATTGTCACATATGCATTTTGTGACATGACACGTGTATACAAGAGGCAGAGCTTGTATCATGACATTCTAACACTACTTTCATCATTTTGACAAAAGCATCAGATCTTGTGGACACTTCTACATCAGAATAACTTTGCCAATGTATAAAGAAACTTTTCTTAAGATACCTTGATAATTTCTTATCCAAGCATTTTTAATTATCAGAGCTTCATAGTTTCATTAATTGAAATTATTACAGTGCCTAAGTTCCTATCCTTGAAAAACCTTGGGAGAGAAACTGTTGCTGCCGTTGCTTTGAACCACATTCTTAGGAGACCTTAGGCTTTCTCTAGAACTTCTTCTGATGGTGATTTAAAATTTTCATGGAGGTTGGTGCACACGTCTCCGTTCTTCTGCTTCTATGGTTGCCCACTTCCTGATCTGAAAAAGCTCCAGGGAATTTTGTGCAAATATGGAGTTGAAGGTTAGTTGCTGAATGAAGACTGGTATATGATGAAAGTAAAGCATGCATAAGAATAAAGTAATGTTAGTGAATGATTCAACACTGAGCAGGGAGTAAGACAAGGATGCGTGATGTCCCCTAGCTGTTTAAGGTTTTTATGGATAAATGTATCAGGAGTGCTTGTATGTGGTCTGTTGTGTGGAATGAATGTGAGAACTGGAGAAATATATATTGAATAGAATGGCAATTGGTTACTTAAGTGTGTGTAGTAAAAGGGTCAACAATGAATGGATATTGAATGAATGTGATTTTAATACAAAAGTGACTGATCAGTAGAACAGAAGAATATTGAGGTGGGTTAAAAGAATGAATGAATGAATGAATGAATGAATGAATGAATGAATGAATGAATGAATGAGGAACTGATTGCAAAACAAATATGAAGGAGGACTGAATGGGTTGAGAGGAGAGGAGAGGAGTGGAGAGATCAAGGAAATTAAGTGTTGACAAAATCTTCAGAAACAGAAGTTGAAGTAACAAGGGACAGTATATGGATATGGTAGAAAAAGATGGTTTGCAAGGATAGAAAGGTAAGGAGAGAGATATAATGAATGGCATTGCTATAAACTAGCTTTACCCATGTTTTGTTTATGCTGAGTGCAGAAAAGGAGAAATATTAAAGTCAAATAAATAAATAGCCTTACTTATCTCCTTTTCTGCACTCTGCATGACATTGCTGACCCCAAAAAGGACTAGCATGATGGGTATAAATGTGTGTGTGTGTGTGTGTAATATTTTATGTCAATTCTGTTTATCTTCTTGTGATTGTGAAACATTCAAAGTAGGAGATGGTATCACGCTCACACATCTTTGAAGGTCAGGGGTAAACAACTTTTCTGGGGACAAGTGCTTCCTGCCTCAAAATGTTGGGAAACTGGGCCATTGGTTTTTGGCAGTTGTGGTCTGAGAGGGCTCTAGAGTTTGGGGGAAAAAGGTCCTTAGGGACCATTTGTCACTGTGAGGATTCAGGCTGCCGAGCCCAGCTTTGGTTTCAGATCAGATCAAATCCTTTATTATAATCAAAGACCAGATGTAGGTACAATTCAGCAACAATAATACAGGGGGGAAAGGGGACTGGGATAAAGGTAGCTGACCAATTTACATAAAAGACTGGAGAAAGAGGAAGAAAAGTAGAAACAGCAGAGAAGAACTGGAGTGCCAGTCCATATTTAAAGGCAGCGAGAATGGCAAGAAATGCTTAACTGTTAAGTAAGTACAAAGCTATATTGCTGTGTGACAGTCTAGTAGAGTATTAAAATATGAATATATTAAAACATATCATTAAAATGTGATAAAATGCAGAAGTATATACTAAATAAAGTTCTACCTGGAATTGACAATGAATGTAATTGATGATACTTAATATCTACTTAGTTGTTGATTACAGTAATAATGTAGGATTATATAAGAGGAGGAGGGAGAGAGAGAGAAAGAGAAGGGAAAGAAAAATAAAATGGTCCAAGGATGTTCAGTTCTCAGGTTGAGTCTGAAGCCAGCTGTTGCTTTTTCTAACTGCTGAAGTAATAAATTTCACTACCCTGTAGGTGATGTCAAGATCTGAATCTGAAAGGAGGTAGTCGGTATAGAAATTGTCTGTTTTCTCGGAGACTCACAATAAAAGGGGAGTTATAATGTTGTTTTGAAGATCCTTGTAGAAATTTCAGTAAAGGAGGGGTTTTGTTTGTATATACTGTATGGAGGCAGGAACACATAATAGCAGAAGAAATTTCTATTGTTCTCCTTGTCCCACCATTCCCTGAATGCTTACATTTTTTTAGTTAATCTTTAAATCCTGGATATGTATTCATCTGGATTACAAAAAAGCAGCATATGAAATACTTTCCTCCATCCACCCTGAATGCATAGTTTTCAGAGATGCATTTTGCAACAAACCCAGAATGAAGGGTTTTCTCTTCCTAGGGCAAGCAAGTTTTGCTGATTACAGGCAAATCTCTCTGAGGCCAAATTGGATTTGGCATCACTACAAAGTGAACACGCAGCCCAAAGACAAATAATTTTGGTAAATGAGTGACTGTTGCCCAGTTCTGGAATGATTCCAAAGCCCTCATTCAAACAGGGTGGGCAGGAGGGGGGAGATCTCTTCCCCAAATATGACAGCCAGGAAGTCACAGCCAATTCTACCAACAGCAGTAACTATCAGCAACAGGATGAAAGGGGATGAATGAAGTAAACAAAATAGGAAGGAAGGATGAAGTGATACTCAAATGGTAGTACAAAGCTGAGTCACAACAGAGAATAAACCCGCAGCCTCTTCCCTGTGAGAACCCTTCGGGTATCGGAAGGCTGCTATCATGTCTCCCCTTAGCCTTCTCTTATTAAGGCAAAATATGTTTGAGTTTCATAGGTTAGTATCAGGGCTGGTCTTTCATCAGGAAAAGAGAGCTGACAAGCTTGAATAGCAGCAGCACAGCCAACCTCATGCCTTTTCCTCTAGCCCTTCCCTTCTCCTGACACTAACCTCTGGCATGATGAAGTATAAGCGCTGAAGTGAAATGACCAGCTTCTTTATAGGCTTTCACCCACGGATACCTAATTGCAGCACAAATGTGCCAGCAACCTTTTCTTTTCTGCTGTGTCCTCACAACACATCTTGCCCCTGACCCATAAGCATGACACGATTCCGTTGTCCTCAGCTATACCAGTGTTCAGACAGACTTAAAGTGGATAAAATCTGTGAGGCTTTACTTTAGAGGGATGTTGGGTGACTGGCAGTGACTGGGAAGGAAGGCGAGAGAGACATAAGAGATAGGGGCAGTGGGGACGGCAACTTCTCATGGTGGTATGCTGTTCTGCCAACTCAAGGGTGAGCAGAGAGACCTTCAACCTCAGTGGAGGGAAAAGGCTCCATTTGAGATGGAAAGAAGTCTCCATCTTGTCCTTTCCCGCAGGCAGCAAAATTTCATGGGTCGGTCTTGAAGACAGAGTATTTCTGTCCCTGCTTTATCCAGTCAAATGTTTCTTTCAGTACTGCACTTATCTATATACCCTTTGTGAGTTAAACAAGGAGTCTGAAATGCTAAAGGCTGAAGCCACAATATTCCATTGTTTCCTAAAACCATCCCTGAAAAAGTCATTCTTCTTAAATTCTGATCATTTTAAAACTTTGCATGACCATGTTCCTAGACAGAATACCTAGAGATGTATTCTCTAGGTATCTTAGAAATCCAAAAAAGCAAAGCACAAAATGAGCTATGCTTTGAAAATGAAGGGAATCCTCAAGCAATTCTTGGTAGCTGTGAAACCTTAAGGAACTATTTTACGTTCTGTGCCAATTCAAGTAAGGCTGGTCTAACATCTGTCTTGCAAATTTCCAGAAAATCTGCCATGCTTCTAATATGGGCAGCTATAGAAATATGATAAACAAACAAACAAACAAACAAACAAACAAATGTTACTGCTCATAAGGAACTACATGCCCAAAACTCTTGAGCACATTATTCCCATGTTCATATTTCAGTCTTTCCAATACAGCTGATTGGGTTGTTGTCAAAACAAACCCTTCCCATAAATCTTGGAACTGCTGAAAGAGAGAATGGGAAGTAGGACATACGTTCTGGGGAGGCAGGAAATAGAAGGCAGATCCTCCTTGCCTCTCCTTGTGAGGCACGTCAAAGCAAAGAATCCAGCTAGACAGTTCTCTGGAATGCAGTGAACATACGCCCAAACCATACATACAGACCTTCTTTAAAGTTCTTGCCTGCCTGTAGCTTTTGTTCAGAACACTCCAGTCCTTTTAGTGCTTGCAGCAACTGTTTACAAGTATTACTTTTTAAAATGATTTTTTTCCTTCGATAGGTCCATGGGAAGTGCATGTGCAGACATAACACTGCAGGACACCATTGTGAGAAGTGTGCACCATTATACAATGACCAGCCATGGGAGCCAGGCAATGGAAAAACTGGGGCAGCAAATGAATGCAGAAGTATGTGGGTCTGGGGGAGAGAGGGAAGGAGGGAGCAACAGAGTAATGAATCTTTCCAACCCAGTAGGAAAGCCCTGTGACTAAATCTGGATTTATGATGCTCTAGCAGCAGATGGGGAAGGGACTAAGAAAATTTATGAAAATCCTTTCAAGTCCTTTTCTCCTTTGCTCTTTACATACAGAGAGACATCAGACATGTTCTGTACCCCAGCAAAATGCAGTTAATCACTAAAACCATAGATTGATTAGAATTATTGACAAAGCAGCAATATTAACATTTAAAAGCAAAAAGGTTTTCAACTCCCTCAGCTGCCGTGACATGAATCATACATTCATTAGCAAGTGTGTTTCCATGTGTGCATTATGTTCGTGCATGAAAATAAATATATTTGGCCTACTTGGTATATTGTAAATTTCAGTATATTATAAAATAGAACAAAGTTCTAGTTTTAAAGAGACTTGTCTTTTATTCTGTTTTCTACTAAAGCAGGTGACAACATGCAGTAGGATTTTAAAAATTCACCAGTTCTCGGCATTTTATGGAAAAAAGCATTTATTTTCACTGACTTAAGGGGAAAACTAACAACAGTCAGTCTACTGTTGTTTATTGTTATTAGGCTGAATACAGAGAGGATATCAAGCTGGAATAATCTTTGGTTAGAATAAGCTGGATAAAACAAAATTTTAGCCGTAGGGAAATTCTTGGTATGTGGATAAATGATTTTTCATTGTAAAGTTTCCAACTATCAGAATCCTTTTGCCTTAGAGTTATGGTACTATCTACCTGTGCTTTATGTTTGTTTTACTGGCACATTTTTTTTATAAGTAGGTGGTCAGTATTCCAAAGAGAATCAAGTTGAAACTAGTCAAAAAGAGTAACAACCTAAGATTGGACAATGGTTATTCAGGTCAAATGCAGCAACAGACAATTTTTATTTATATCCCAATGTCTTTATAAGAGGGGGAATTCTCTATCTTTCATATTTATTTAATAGTAAAAAGCAGCTTAATTAAGAGCACAAAGGAATCAACTGAAATGTTACATTATTCAATTCTTTTTTTCCTACCCCATGCTTCAGTTTCACTGGGTTGAATGCAGACTTAGCTACTCTTAGAACAGATACTGAAATCAATCCTACATTTCTATACTCAAGGTATATATTTTTCAAATAGACAGATAGACAGACACTGCACATGCACACGCAGACACTGATCCACCAGTTGTAGTGCCAGGGCTTCTGTCAAATGTTGATAACGTGCACATTATGTCACTCTTCTGCACAAATGAGCATAGCTTGAGAATAAAAGTTTGCCAGTGCTGAATTTCTTAACAGGATTGATCAGTTTACAGGAATGAGCAGCAAATGTAATTTAGGAGTGATGTTTTATACTCACCTTTCTGTAGTCTCTATACTCGCCCTTGTCTTACTGAAGACACAAGTAGCAAGTCCATCCAGAAGAAAAAGTGCACTGTGTGATGCCATACTCACTTCTCTTAAACTGTAAGTAAGAGCCATCCTTTTCTTTCCCTGAACCTCAACTTATGTTTCTTCTTCTTTTTCTCTTTTTCTTCCCTCTCTTACCCCCCCTCCTGCCCGCCACAGAGTGCCGCTGTCACCATCATGCAGATAGCTGCCATTTTGATCAGAACGTCTGGCTGGCCTCTGGAAAGAAGAGTGGAGGTGTCTGTGATGACTGCAAGCACAACACTGAGGGTTCCCGGTGTCAAAGGTGCAAGCCTGGTTTTTACCGAGACAGAACCAAGCCTATGTCTTCCCCAGACATTTGCAAACGTAAGGGCGTTGGTTTGTAAATGTAATACTGAGAAATGCACAATGAATGTGTTTATAGATAGCAAAAGGAAAATGTATTTAGTTATTTCTTTAAAGGTGTCCATTCACTGCTTTATTTTGGAAGGTTTCCATTGCTTTCCAAGGATGAAACCTCCATCCAAAAAGCAAAAAAACCCCTTTAGATGTATTTATCTATGTAAAGCCTTTACCAGTGAAATCAGGATAGATATACACATATTTGTGAGAATAATGTAGAAAAATACATTACATAAGAGAAATTTATTTTAGAAAAGGATGCGAAATTGCAAAGCAAAATGCACGCTTAGAGAAATGTTCATCAAACTATATATGTATTTTAGTATGTGTATGTATTTTTTAAATATATTTAGAAATCATATTCTACATTCACAAAAGACTTGAACTTGACATTGTTACAAAAATGGGTTGCCAAAGAAATCGTCATTGATAGATTGGTCTATCCATATTGAAGACTTGGGAGCAATCTCAATCTATTAAACATTGCACCACTGATTTCCTTAGCCAAGAATGATTTGCTAATTTCACTATTGTAAGATTTTGCATCTCATGAGATGATAGCATTTTTACCCCAGTTTCAGATTTCAGAACTTGGATGCATAATATATCCAGTGCAAACACTTCCCCTAATTAAAGAACAAACTTCTATTTTGGAGGAGGCTTAACGTTCAGGTTAGTGGGATGAAATTATATTCTGAAATTATTATAGTTGTGCAATTGCAGTTGAGACTTGGTGTGGAAACTGCTGCAGATCAGCTTTTTAGCACGTAGAATGGATCATGCCAGAAGTCCGGTGGGAAGAGGGAAGGGTGTCCAGAGTGCCCAGGGCTTTTAAATAAGACCAGATGACGACTGGCATGCAGAGAAGCCTGGATTGCATTGGTCTCAAAAGACATAGCTTTTCATGTTTGTTTGTTATATTTATAACCTGCATTCCCTCTAAGGATCTCAAAATGTAAAAACAACAAATGAACTGTCAAAGGCATTAATGTTCATTTAATATGTGGTAGAAAGACTATCATGGGGAGATTGGGCTAAAGTCTGGCTCGTTCATTAGAAGTAAGCATTTCAACTGCAAAGTCAGGATCTCTTTTTCCTATTACACCTGCTTTCACTCCAACATTTCTTTAATCAAGTTACTGACTGACTTCTGGGGTTTCTCCTGCTGCTTTGATAGACTTGATCAAGGTTGCCTTTAAACTCAGGTTACATATGCTTTTCACACTGCGATTGCCAGGCCTCTGATGTTGCTCAAGTGACCTCCAGTTCACAACACTTCCTCTGTTTGCGTTCTTTTGTGTTTGCCTTTCTAGAATGCTAGTGCTGGCTCAGCCTCCATACCGCCCCCCTCGCCCCCACCTTCACCTATTTGTAACCTTTTGTGAAAGCACATGGATCAAGGATCTACATAACCTACTGGTATGCCCGACTGTAGTGCGTGACACCAAAGGACTTCTCTTGTGGCTCTTTCTCCCATTCTGAGAAGTCTTGCTAAAAAGGAAGCTTTGTAAAGTCATTGTTGCACCAGATTAAATTTCAAGACTTATGGTAGTTGAAAGAGCTTGTGTCCTGTTCTAAAGCCTCATCATGCTGCCAACGCTCTCTAATCAGAAAGAAGTATTATTAGATAGTCACTTGGATGGGAAAAACTTAGAAGTAAAACCATTATAAGCTGTGGAAACTTTAGAAAAGACTGCATGAATGAAACTGTATCTCAGTTTTCTCCATGGCTCTTTTATCTGATCTGGCCACCAACTGCCCAATACACTGGAGGCAATTTTTTCTCTAATATTGTCTTCTGAATTCACCTCTGTGAATGTTAGCATGGGCAGCTCACCAAGTATTCTCATCAAATAATCCTCTTTGAAAATTACAGGCTATATTGAATACAGATAGTCGCCGAGATAAGAACACCTGGTTACAGATGACCCATAGTTAATGGGTCCTATTAATGGAGCCTATTGTAGCAAAATTCGAGTTAAACACACAATGGTTTGAGTTCATTACACAGTACTACTTATACAGTATTATACAATAATGCTGTTCCGGCTTACG